CTGGCGAAGGCTGTTTTAAAATCAACAAAGAGGTTGTGTTTGCAGATCCTCTTTTCTTGGATGTTTTCCAAAAAGGGTAGATTTACCAGATGTGAAGACTTACCCAATACGCTCGTTACAGAACCTTATATGCGATATTAAAGAGACTAATGCCATGCATATTGGGGCAGACTTTGGCAGCGGCCTTTGTGTGGATTGGTTAGGTCACACTTAGGTTCCAATAGTCGGACAAGCTTTCATCCGACCATATATTGCCAAGAAACTAAATCATGCACTTTGTCAACTCTTCACAGCCACATTTGAATAACTCAGCTTGTAAGTCATCGGCTCCAACCGCTTTGTTGTTCGTTAAGCGAGCAATCGCTATTCGAATCTCATCATAGTTGAGTAGTGGGACGTCTACGCGGTGTGTCCCAAAAATAACCGAACTTTTTGGATATAAAATAAAATACACATTATATTATCTTTGAAAGTTACTATTTATTCAAAATTGGTTCCATTTGACTCAACACAACGTTTGGAACGATCAATCAGCGCATGCATAGATTTTTTTTTATGTCATTTATAGAAATGTTCTTCAGTACCTCGGTTACGGCTGCTTGAATGACTGGGATATCATCATAAAATGCTCCCTTCATCTTGGTTTTCAGTTTTGAAAATAAAAAATAAAATAGTCACATGGTGATAGATCAGGCGAATACGGAGGATGGTCGATGAGAGAAATCCCTTTTTTCATTAAAAATTCAACCGAACTTTCTTTTACCCAAATCTTCAGTTTAAATTCTCTAAAAAGTGTTTTTACTCGTATTCAATTCCTCAGCCAACATTCGCGTAGTAAAATTTGCATCGATACCAATGATTTCACGGACTTTTCTCACCAGTTCAGTACGATTACTAGTTTCTGGACGTCCTGCTCTAGGGTCTTCATTTAGAGCCTCACGACCATTTTTAAATCGTGTAAACCACGTATAAACACACACTAGACCACAATTTTTTGTCCTACAAGAGTCCACTCAGGTCTTAAAACCTTCTGTAAGTCGTCGTATCATCTTTCTTTTTTTCTGCTCACACGTTTTGCTTTCCTCTTTGATTCTCAGTATCTATCCCGCTCCGCACGTTTAGTGGTAGATCGCAACATAGCGAGGTAGGCTTTCTCTGTTTTTAAGGCCTTTGCGAAAGCCAATAGTTTTGTTCGCAGCTGTTTGTCAAGATTTTGAAGTTCCGTCCCACTGTGACCTGATACCGAGTTGCTGATCAATGCTCTCAGAGAGTGCAAGTCGTGTCGAGTAGAAAACTGTTCAGTGTGTTGTGATTGCAGCTTTTTGACATCGAGTCTTCCTTGTGTTTGTTGACGAGCATCATAATGTGACGAAAATGCTATATACGAATGTCAGATGAAAGAGAGAGATCGATAACTACACCATATTTTACAGCGCGTGAAGCGAATGTTTGATATCAAGAACAACTCGTACTTTTAAGTGATGCCAGTAAGTCATTAAAGTGTGTGTTTACAGGGAAACAGCTGAGCGATAGGCGTCTAAAGTATAGAACCCACTTGGTTTTTAGCGCGCAACATCCCAATAGACAGGATACAATTATATTAAACAATAAAAGCTTGGGTAATTTGAAGCTGTGAAGCCCATGTAACCCCTTAAGGAACGAAAAGTAGGTGGAAAGGAGTAGCTATGCAGAAATTGAGGATGCGCATAACAAGAGAAATGATCGATAATTTTACGACAAAACGATTCGTATTTTACAATTCACAATCTACGATTCGACTCTCACCTCATAGTCATAATTTCGAGGTTGAAGAGAGTTTTTTTTTTAAATGAGTAGGAGATTTAAACGAAAACATCTCTCTTCATGAATAAATAAGAAGCTACCCTATATAAGGCAGATGATAACGCAAGTTACACCTTTCGACTAAACGTTATACAGACTACGTCTAATACTACAGACGAGTAATTTGCCATCCGGATCCATTAAAACGTACTAGATCTCATTGGATCAAACGGTGATAAACAAGAATCAAACAAACCAAAAACTAGTTGCCATGACATTGTTGCCTCGGAGAATTCCACACTTATTAATTATGTAAATAGTTATCGCATATCAACGGTAATATAGTAATTTTAGTAAGTCATTCTTCCGGTGAAATATCAACAATGTTTGACGTTCTTCACATTCTTTTCACACCACTTATTGTTGACTTCCTTTTCCTACTTAAATAACAACATTACCATTTCTCATATCAGTGGCTGTTCATCTTCATCCAGGTAGTTGATTACGTATCTGAAGCTCAGCAATTTGTATTTGGTTTTAATTAAATGCACAAAACTTCGACATCTTAAATGAACCAGCAGTTTCCCAACCATCTTGACAAAAGTAACTCAAGCCGAAAATCTCACCTATTTACTACATTCTTTACAATGCATATACAAACATACATTCACTCATACATATATACGGTTTGAGACTTGAGGTAAGCTTTGAGCTGTTTAATGAGTTTTAATTGTTTTCTTACACCGAATTTCAATTTAACTCAAAAACCACAGCACACACCTTTGCAGGCATTCAGCGGAGTTCTTTGTGACACTCATACAAACACAAACCACTTTCATTTCTCATATCAAATTTCTTACCTTTTGCAATTCAATGAAAATTACTTAATTATAGCAATTACGCCAAGTTGCTGGCATGTCTATTTACTTATGGTTGTAACAGCTGAAAGCAGCCTTTAAGTGGCTTGATTACCTTTGACTCTTGAATGTAGTGCTGATGTTTGTGGCGATTCGCTTATTTTGACGACTTCAGTTTAGTTTTTGCCATCTTCAGCCGTTCTCCTGATTTTCGTTTGTTGAAATTGGATTTTTTCCAGAAAAGCTTTGAACTATGTCTTGGTCAAAAGAATTTGCTGTTATTTGTTGTCATTTCGGTAATTGCTTTAGGTATTTGAACTCATCGCTGCTATTGTAAGCCCTGCGCTGTTAATTTGAGCACACCCAAACTAGCTGAGTTTTGACTCGATTCTCACTTGAAGTGCGTTCAATGTAATGCGTTAGTACTATCTCTCCCTTTTAAGTGCATTCTGTGTGTATTTTTGTAACTCGTCTGCTGCTCTCCCTTTATTATTGTACATTTTCATTCTATTCTTTTCTTTTTTTCACATCTTTACTCTTTCTAATATTGCGATTTTAGCTCTTTCTGAGTTAATGTTGTTGTTTTTGCTTTTACTTAATTAAATAATTTCACACCCACTTTATTTAATCCCCATCGCAATTTCGGTATTTAGCAGCTGTGTCACATAAGCGACCGCACACGGTATCTACAGTACAATAATTTACTCGTACAAGCGCCTGAAAGTATGCTTGTATATTATTGCAAATTCGCTACGTTATTACTTTTTGTTGTTGGTATTTTTTGCACTTAACACAGCAAAGGCTGGTGGTAGAGATAAAGATGCCATTTGATTGCAGATCAGCCATCAGTCCTGCTAAGTAATATAATGTGCGGATGAGAGCAGAGTATTTTGTGGTAAAAGCTAAATTAATTAAACATAAAACTGCCACGAATAAATTTAAGTGCTCAAGATAAAGGCAATAAAAAAATTAAAATTAAAATTAAAATTAAAATTAAAATTAAAATTAAAATTAAAATTAAAATTAAAATTAAAATTAAAATTAAAATTAAAATTAAAATTAAAATTAAAATTAAAATTAAAATTAAAATTAAAATTACAATTACAATTACAATTACAATAATATTAAAATTAAAAAGTAATTGAAATTATAATTAAAATTAAAATTAAAATTAAAAATGAAATTGAAATTGAAATTAAAAATAATTAAAAACTTAATACCATTAAGTGGCAAAAACAATATTAATTTTACTTGCACATATCATTCAGAACATTTTTTCGTATCGTCTTTTCCGATTTATGCCTTTCAAGAATTAACTTGCGGTGGGATACAATATGTTTCAGCGCGCGTGAAGTCAAATGGCACCGGCGTTGGTAGAAATGCTCAACGCAAGCCAGCCTTCTGCATCTTTCCTGCTGGTTCCGCTCCTGTGCAAAAGCTTTTCTCCACCCAACGAATTGCTTCAAGTAATTACGAAATTCGACTACTGCTGACTAACGGTAGTCGCGAAAAAGGTTGAATGGTGGGTGGAAGGCGCAATAGTTTTATTGCAACTTCAGCAAACGCCAGAGTGCTTTTTTATTACACTTTCACTTTGCCTCGCCAACTAATGGCAAGCAATGCAATTGAGTTTCTGAGCAAACATTTTTGTTATATACGTGTATACTCGTTTAGCATGCTGATGGCGGGACGGTGGGGTGTTCTTAGTGGTAGTGTCTAGTCGTGGTGTTGTTGTTGTTGAGGCCACGACGTAATGAATAAAGTCACTGCGAAATTAAGTGCAACTGCAATTACATTAAAGTTTTCTCGTTTTTCGTAACCACAGCATACCACAGACCGCCTGCCGTCACACGCGTAACGCCTCGTTTGCCCAGCTGTGCTGCTGCCACGACGACGATGACGACTACACTTTTTGGGGCTTCAATAGAAGTTTAATGAGTGCCACAGCACACAGCAGGCAGTCAATTGCCGCACGATAAGCCGACTCTTCCTCGTCCACCTACTCTCCCACACTTGGAGAAGGACTCCAACCACTTTCTGCTCGGCAACCAGAGAGAGAGAGAGAGAGAGAGAGAGTTTCCATTGCTTGAGTTAATGTGACAACTCTTTAAGCACCATTGACGTTGCTATGCGGCTATATTGCTCGTAATGCGTACTCGAAGGCATGCTCAGCTGCCGTTGCCTACTCATGCGTGTCCTACGGGTGTAACAGTTTCGCATTTCCACTTAATCTTCTAAACTTTAAATTGAAATTGCAATTTCGTGGCTATAATAATAAATTTTACATTGTTTTATTCTCCACTCGCTGCACTAAAATAATAAATATCTAAATCACTTTGTTTTCTATCTGTACATTTATAGGGCCACCTGGACCACCAGGCCCACCGGGCAAACGGGGGAAACGCGGCAAAAAAGGTGATACTGGCGAAAAGGGTGATTCGGTGAGTGCGAATAATGAATATATCCTAGAAATACCTTCAGCTGTACATACTTATTAAAAATGAAATGAAATTTTATATTTTTATCTTTGTTACCTTAACCGTTACCGCTGCAGGGCGTCAACGGCTTGAACGGCGAGAAGGGTGCCCCAGGCAGACCGGGTGACAAAGGCCAGAAGGGTGATGTTGGCCATCCAGGCATTGACGTTTTCCAAACTGTGAAGGTGAGTGGTTTTATACACAATATGTTGTTAACTCAATATGTTTTATTTCAAATAATTTGATTTGAATAACACCAGCGCTTCTACTAAACAAAAAGAGCGCCAATTAAAATTTTTCATCAAAAAGATTATAATTTAATTTTAACAAACTTTTTCTCCGCATTGTATTTTTCCAATGAATTTTATATTAAATCAAATTAACTTGTTTTTAGGGTTTGAAGCGTTCGGTCACCACCTTACATGGCGGCACTTTAGGTTATGCTGAAATTGTTGCTGTTAAGGTACCAAAAACAACTCCAAACTAAAAATATTTCTACCGTAGTTATTGTTGTTGTCAGCTGTCTCATTTTTTTTTCCATTAATTTGTTGCACTTTTTCATCCACATTGGTTTGTTGGCTGGCTGGCTCACGAGCTTTACCAACCGCAGCCAATTTCTGTGTGGTTTCACTTTGAAGTAGCGAATTTCAGTTCTCCCTTTTTTGTTGTTGTGTCGGCGTTTTGTTGTTCGTTTTTTTTTTGTAGTTAGTTAACGTTTTTTCAATTTTTTGTGCTTTTTTATTTATTTTGTTGGTGGTTAAAGGTTTTTATTTTGTTCTTGATAATAACTTTTATTGTAGTTTTCAGCGCTGTTGTTGTTACAGTTGGCGTTGAAAGTAGCATTGTAGTGCGCTAGTTGCTAGTAAATATATACAATATTATATATTTATGTATATACTATGTACCATAGTTAGTAGTTGTAACAAGGTCCTAGAGTGGAGTTTTTATTTAACTTTTGATTGTTAACCACAAAGCGTTTTACGGTGATAATTTGCCTTTTTGAATTGTGAAGTAAATACTGTATTGCAATTTTTTAGTAAATACTTTACGAATGTGTTTTTAAATTTAATTCTAATGAATTATTCACAAAGTATTTTCATTTAAATATTTTGCACTTTTTCACATTCTTTGCCGATTGATTTTTTATAAAAATTATATTTTACATTTTAAATACGTAAAATAATTCTCTAGTACACCAAATGAGCAGGTTTTATTAACTAATAGTATAGCCAGACGTTGATTTTGGTGAGTCACTATTCAAAAGTGAATGCACACAAATCCAAAGATTTTCCAAATAGAAGTGTTATTCTGATATTCCAAGAAAAAAATATTATTTTTTGAGATCAATGATTGGATGTTTAAGTAAATGTAAAGAAGAAGATATACTATTAATATCGGCAAACAATATCAGCCAAACATTCATTTCTTAAAATTTTTCATCGCCAAATCGCAAAGTGGCTGCTGCATGATCTAGCCACCGTTGCCCAGACAATATTGAATTTTTGGAGGAAACACTTATCCAGCCTGCTCAATAACACTGAAAATAGAGTACACCGAGATGGTTAGCCCGAAACCGCAATCGATGACAATGGAAAATATTTGAAAAGCTCGGTCAGTAATCCGAAACCTCGACCGAGCTTTTCAAATACGGCAGTGAAGAGCAGATCAGGTGAATGCACTAGCTATTTTGCAGCATACGGGCGGACAAAAGTATGCCCGACGATTGGAATTTAAGTGTGCTCTGTTCAATCCAATAAAAGGAGACCCCACAGTCTGTGCCAAACATCGTGAGATTAGCCTCCTTAATATCGCCCATAAGGTGCTGTCGAGCATACTGTGTATAAGATTGAAGCGCACCTCCAACTACTATATAGCACAGAAGAGAGGAAGATGTCAAAATCTGATGAGTCGGCGTTAGGGGGTTTCAAGAGAAAGGTTTTGCGTAAGATTTATGGCCTTTTGCGCATTGGCAACGGTGAATATCGCAGACGATGGAACGATGAGCTGTACGAGTTATGCGGCAACATTGACATAGTACAGCGAATCAGGAAGCAGCGGCTGGCTTCGTCATGTGATCCGAATGGAAAATTTAAAAGTTTTCGATGCAATACCCGCGTGTGTATGAAGAGGAGGAGGAAGACGTCCACTTTCTTAGAAAGACCATATAGAGAAGGACCTGGTTGTCTTTGGTATTTCCAATTGACGCCAAACAGCAAAAGGAAGAAACGCACGGCGTAATGGTGTTATAATCGTCTACTACAACATGATCGATATGATTGAAAGTTTTCCGATCTGGAGACAGCCAAGTAGCCTGTTGAATTTTCTTGTACTGGAATCTAGTGACAGACAATCATATTTCACGCCCCGGCGAAGTCGCGCCGGCTAAGCCCAGTTGGGAATGTTTCGTCGGGAAAACTGAATTTTCCGACTGTTATCCCAAAAATACGCTCTTTGCCCACCCCTGCATTGAAGTCGCCAAGCACAACTTTTTGTCGTGATGGGAGCAGCGCTCATAAGGGTTCTGAAGGTGCTCGCAAAAGACATCTTTGGTGAAGTCTTCCTTATCTTCCGTCGGAGTGTGGGCGAAAATTAGCGTAGGGTTAAAGAACTTCGTTTTGATGCAGATTGTGGCGAGACTTTCACCCACCGGAGTGAATGCCAATATTCGGCGACGGAGTCACCTTCCCAATTAAAGGACCGGTCACTCCAGGTGATATCTCATCCGAGGCATAATACCAATTTTCATTGAGTTTATTTTTCATGTAGTGGGTACCAAACTCTACGCACAAACGCATGACATTCGCCTTCTCACTTTAGCTTGTCTCCAAACGGAAGTTTGTTGGCTACCCAGGGGATACGTGGTCTAAGACCGGAAGTCGTGAGCTGCTTGAACCAAAATGTTTCTGGCCAATCCCATGTGCATGGCGGTCAAAAGCTTTCCCCACTTGTGTTAACTTCTACACATGGCCCCATCGACCAGTCGATCAATTTTATGCCATTTAAAAGTCTTCTCGAGAAAGCCCACGTATTAATTCGTATTTCTGAGATGGTGAGAAGAACCCCACAGCACTATCATAACGCACATGACATGCTCTGCCAGCACAGAAGGACAGCCGAAGTTCAAGGAAAGGGCATGCGAAGGTGAAAACTTGAGTTTTTAACATTAAGACTTTTGTCTTGTTTACAACAAATGCACCAAATTGTACCCTGCTGTCGACGATTTTTACAGCAGATGACCAAAAACAGAACAGACTATTTCATACTTTAATTGTTTGCCACAGCAGGATATAGAGATTAAGTGTAAGACAGATTTGTACTACTTCTTTCCATTCCAGGCGTGACACGACGATAAAATACAAACTGAGACTTATAATAGAAACAGTGACGAACGTAAACGTACGTTCCGTGTAAGCTCTTTCAATCAAACTTATGGCAGCACCACGTAAATGAGAGCTAACCACGGCGGGCATAGATGTTCATGCGAGTGATCTGAAAGATTTATATTTTTCCCGTAGAAACCGTTTCTCTCTGTACACTTCTCTCCTTCTGCTTGCTCATACAGATATATGTATGCATAAATATTGTTGCAACAGACGAAAGGCTACATTATATGGATGCCAACAAACCAATTCTGCGGTAATCGCCCACGGACTACGCCTCTTTCGTGAGTGTTTTCAGTTGTACACGCCGGCCGCTTCATGACAGAAATGCATAGAGGATTGTGGTAAATCTAGACAAACCTAAATAGGGTCGCTAGAAGTCACACGATTTCCTGTTCGGTAGCACGTCATACAGAAAGACTGGGAGTTCATTATATGAGGGTTAAAGTAACAGTTTATTATCTTTTTGGCGACTACCACGATGTGGTACCACAATGGGTCTAATCTGAATTAAGTATAATGAGACTTTCACATCAATAACAATTCCACCTTAACCTAACCTCACATATTTGCAAGGTCTACTGACTGGTTAGTATAATAAAGAAACGGAAAAACTCCAGGTTGTCCAGAATTGATTTCATCATTGCTCTCATAGTATGTTTTCTTGGGAAGGACTATGAAGTCCTTCCTGATATACAGGAGCTATGACAGAGCACTGCTGCACCTTAGCAATATAAATTCAGTAAAGTTTTATGGTGGGATAAATTGTTGGAATAGGCAAATATCGAAAACAATCGAAATGCAGAATCGATATTCTTTAAAGGCAATTTTCAAGATAGTCCAATAATTTCGAAGCTATATCCATCCGTTTTTTTCCAAAAAAAAAAAATATTTGAAAGTGTTAAACTTTGTCAATGTTTAAACAATCAGTTTGCCCAATAAAAGTGATGTAAAGGCATTAGAAATTACGAGTTTGATAAAATCAATGAAATTCCATTTTCCAATATAACTAAATTCAAAACAAGTTGTGAAATGCGCTTTAAAGGTCCAGCACACGTAGACGTTAACCTTTTAAAAACTTCAAATTACTTTTATGTTATAAAACTAATAAAATTCCATTGTTTACAAACTCTTTTATAACGAAATGCTTTCAAAGAGATATCTCTCCCTAAACCAGTGTGTGAGAGAGCTAGCAAAGATGCCACACCATACTTTTGTGTGTTGAAATTACTAGACATTTTAACATTTGGTTGTTAAGTATAACTTTGCTGTCATTTACTGCTGACCAACCGCATTTACTTTAAACGCACTTAAAGCTGATAAATAATCAAAGATATATGCGTTAAATTTGTTTTTAAAGGATATGTGGCTTATACTGTTAAGTGTGTTAAGTGGTTTTTAACTGAAATCAGTTGAGTTGGATTTATTCTTTTAAACCGTCGAATTCGACAGCTTTCAATACACATTCCCATGTAGTAAATATAAATACACTTTCTTTCCCATTTCATTCGTTTTATATTGCCACGTTAATGCCCACTCACAAATGCATATTTATGTATGTTTTATGTAAACACTTCTTCGCTTTCGGCAGCTTGAATCTTTATTTAAAATTACATGTTTCACTTCTCACATTTTTATGGTCATTTGTCGTGTCTTTATGTTGACGTGAATGGGAAAAAATTAAAATGCATTAAACATATAAAGTTGTGCTATTTGCGCATAAATGTGTCTGGACAGCGGAGCTGCTGACGATTTGCCTGATACAGATGTTAACGTAAATATATGTATTTGCACATTCGCGGCTTTGATCCCTTTTGGAAATTGATCCCATCTTATTTTACGCAATATTTTTCATTTTTTAATTTTACAATGCTTTTTTTGGTTTTACCTACTATTTAATTTCATTTTTACTTACTTTACTTATTTTAACTTAACTGAAAAAATATAAATAGTTTAATTCGGTTTAATTTTATTGCAGTTTATTTTTTTTCGTGTTGCTTTATTGTATTGCATGTTATGTTATTGAATTTTATTTAATTTAATTTTTTGAACCTTTTATCATTTTCTTTTACTTGATTTTATTTCTTTTTAAATTTATTTTTATCACACTTCAGTCAATTTACTTAACAATAATAAACTTAATTTTATATAATTATAATTTTTAAATATGTGATTTTATGTTATTTTATTTGATTTGAATTATTTTATTTTATTTTATTTTATTTTATTTTATTTTATTTATTTTATTTATTTTTATTGTATTTTATTTTATTTTATTTTATTTTATTTTATTTTATCATATCCTTTATATATTATTGTATTTAACTTTATTTTGTTTCAAATAATTTTATTTTTCTTTGATGTATCTTATTTAATTTTACTTTATTTTTAATTATTTTAATTAATTTATTAACTCATTTTATTTTATTACACTTCAGTTAATTTATTTTATTTCACTTTATTTTTTTTTATTTAATTAAATTAACCGTTTTTATTTTCTATTTTATGTTAATGTATTTTATTTGTATTATTTTTATTTTTTTATATTATATTTTCATTTATGTTCCTTTATTCTATTATATTTTATTTTTTATATATTTTTTGTGTTTATTATTATTATTATTAAATAGAAGCAAAAGCAAATTTAAATTAAACATATTAAATTTGCTTTTGCTTCAATTTAATTAATTTTATGCCAATTGTAAAATATATTTCGTTGGCTTTATCAAATTTATTTAGTCGAATTCTTTCTATTTTGAATTTTTCATAAATTTTTAATTGTTTTTATTTCATTTCACCTCATTTTATTTACTTTTATATAATATTATATTTTATATTATTTCATTGCAATAAAATTCGTTTTTTAATAATTTAATTTGTTTTGATTTAATTATAAAATTTCATTGTATAATAATTAATTTTTTTAAATTTTAATGTATTTTACATTATTTTATGTTATCTTATTTATTTATTTTTTTTTTTTAATTCAATGTGTTGCTGTTACATTATTTTATTGGCTTTATTTTAACTTTTTTCATTTTATTTTGCTTTATATTATTTTATTGAATTATACAATAATATTTTTTATAGATTATTTGATTTGAGTTTATTATGTTTCAATTTATTTCATTTTGTTATATTTTATTCTTTTAACTTTTTTATTTTAACTTTTTTTAATTATTATTATTTAATTTTTATTTATTTTATTCTATTTTAAGTTTGTTTTTTTTCATTTATTTTCTTTTGTGTTATTGTTTCATATATTTTATTTTATTTTATTTTATTTTTTTCTATTTTATTTAATTTAAATTTTTTTTATTTCAATTTTTTTAATTTTATTTTAAGTTATATTATTTTAATTTATTTCATTATATATTGTATTTATTTTAGCTTATTAAATTATTTCATATTGATTTAATTTTTATTTTTTTTTTTTAGTTTATTTTTTATTCTGAATTTTTTATATTTTATTATTAATATTTTACTAAATTTCTTATAACTTATCCTTTATTTTTTAGTGTTTATTTTGCTTGTTTTTAATTCGTTGTATTTGCTTTTTTCTTTTAATTTAAATCATTTTATGTCAGTTTTAAAATACATTTCATTCACTTTATTAAATTCATTTAGTTGAATTATTTCTGTTTTGAACTTTTCAATAAATACAATTAATATATTTTATTTTTATTTTATTTTACTCTATTTTATTTATTCTTATTTTAGTTTAGTATAATTTATTTAGTTTAATTTAACATAATTTTATTATGGATTAATTTTTATTTTTAATTTAGATATATCTTATTTTATTTTTTATTATATTATTTTGTGTTACTATCTTTTATTTATTTTATTTTCTTTATTTTATTTATTTAAGTATTTTTATTTATTTATTATTTAATGTTAATTTCATTTCTATTATTTTATTTTATTTTATTTTACCTTACTTTATTTATTAGTTTTTTCCTTCAATATATTTTATTTAGTTTAATTAACTTTAATTTATTATATTTTAATTTAATTTTTACTTTTGTTTTATCTTATTTTATTTTATATTATATTATTTTATGTTTCCTTATTTTATTTTCTTTATTTTATTTATTAAATTATTTTTATTTATTTTTTCTATTAATTTATTTAGTATTTTTTTAGTTTTATTTTATCTTTTTATATTTTATATTATATTATTTTATGTGATTTTATTTTATGTTATTTTAATTATTTTTATGTATTTTTTATTTATTATTTGATATTAATTTATTTAATATTTCGGTTGTATGAATATTGCTTTCCCTAATGGCCACTGAAAAAAAACTCACACCTCTTTCCTTAAGCACATCTGTTGCATTGTAAATGCAATACATGCAAGTGCTCGTATACGGAATGAATGTAAATATAATATGTACTTTTTTCTTCAAGTGCTGCTGCCAAACATGTGGCATCATCTGCAAGTCAATTTTATGAAATTTTTCAGACGGAAAAGTGCTACACATATGCTGCAAATGGCCAAAAGAAAAGTGTGTATGCTTACAAAGTTTGTAATGCAAACACGCTTAAGAATATGTAAGTGCTCATGTGGATAATGCTTTTCAGCATGAATTTCTTTTTTTTGCCATCTTTGGTTTGCATTTTGGTAGAAGAAGGATATCACACATGATGCTCGTTTACTTACTTCTTGCGCTAAGCGAAAGGTCTTAAAAGTTTTATGTCAAGGAGCATTTAAGAGAAATTTGAGTGTTTATTGTTGGCGAGTGAAAACTGAGAAAGTATTAAGAATAAAGTACAGTCGAGTTTAAGTTAATGGAGCGCTAATATTTATTTTTTTTTTTTTTTTTTTGTAAAACCTTATAACTTTTTGTATACGAAAATGTGCATGTTGGGTAGAGAGAACTTGATATTATCTCTTTAAGCTAAAGCTATTGCATTCAGAGCTAGTATTTGTCAATAACTCATTAAACAATAATTTATTGGTATTAATTAAACTAAAGCTATGCTATACATATGTATGTTTTGCATAATAGAATTCGGCATATACAACTCGTGCTTGTTATTTTCGCTACACACCAAGCTTCAGTTTTCTCTGTTGAACCCAAACCAATTTAATGTCTTTCCGAAGAACGTAAGAAATCGAATCTTGTTGGTAATGGGAACATTTCAACTCAATCATTTAAAATTTATTTTCAAAGGAGTTTACTTGAATTTTTTTTTTAATTTATTACCTATATATTTTGTATTAATTTTTTATTTTCTGTTCTTAATAAAATTTCATTTTTATGTGCTTATTATTTGTAAGGGTTTACAAGAAGCCGGTGTGAATGTATCAGCCGCCACTGTCATACAATTGAAGGTAAGTGTCGGCATGCTGAAAAACACATACACACGTACACCCAGACTCACAACCATAAGCACGCACATATGCACCGAAATATTTATGAGCAAAAATGTAGAATACAAATTTTGAAAACAGAAATAAAGTATATGTATGTACGTTTGTCTTTATGCATATGCAAGCTATGTCTGTGTAAAAGCATGTCTCTATCCATCTATGTATGTACAAAAGTACGGCTATCTAGCATAGTTGTGTGTGCGAAAGACATTATATCATTTGGTCACCAGAGGTTTCTAATGTTCAGTGATAAAAGAAAATTATAAAAACAATCCACAATGTACATATGTATATACATCAAACTTCATTTGAAATGCAAAATCGCAATATCATAAATGTGCAAGGTAAAAGGTTGTCATGCCAACAACAACGAAATATAACAAACCAACAAATACACATACACACATTCTCGTATGTAGATGTATATGTACATTCTTTAAGAATTTCTAGTTTAACAAATTTTATATGTTTCGATTTTAATAAATGCATGCTTTTATATATTTTATTAACATTACCTGCACCAAAATATTCATTTTCGTACGTACCGTCATATGTATGCATGTACGCATATTTCACAAAACCTCACGTACCATACATCTGCATGTTTAAAGAGTAGTTATATGTATGTATGCATATGCATATACATATTAGCAAAATTGTATTATTATTTGACATTTATTCTCATTCTTCTCTCCTTTTTATTATTAGGGTGAACCTGGCGAACCAGGCCCACCTGGACCACCCGGACCACCTGGTGAGCCCGGCTCACCTGGTTTGAATGGCGGACGTGGTCCTCCCGGTGAAACTGGCCCAGCGGGACCAGCTGGACCACCCGGAGAACCTGGACCGATTGGACCACCTGGCGTGGCGGGTACGCTAGGACCTAAGGTGAGTTTTGAAAATAAATTTAATGTTTATCCTTTGCGCTTATGTTGAGCCACGTACACACATTTTCGAAATGAACGAGTTGAAGAACTGTCATTTGCACGTACAAGCATGTATGTATATACTCGTAAGTATGTATGCGAAAAGAGTATGACTTTATTTACCTAATTTCTAACAATGGTTTGCAAAAAGAGCAACGATTCGATGGCACTATATTTATGAAAAAAAAAATCAATTTCCACGATGAAAAGAAAAATAAAAAATTATGATTTGACCATATTTTGTATTGTGAAATTGCTATAAAAAAAAGAGACTTTTCGATTCTCCGGCCAGTAGAGATCGCCGCTTCGGCAAACTATGCGTTTTTCAAACAGAGTGTGCAATAGATAGGCTATAACGTTGGCCCCGTCGTGTTCAAAACACAAATCGCTCACACCATTCACTTCAACATTTGGAAACAAATAAGCTTTGAGCTTGACATGGTAACGATCGGCACTAACCACAACAGCAGATCCTTTCTCGTTATCGAAGAAAAATGTATAATGTGGCGCGTTGAGGATGCATCGGCTTTTCCATGGGTGCGTGTGAATTTTCGGAGCAACAAATGTGGCAGGTCAGTTTTAGCTGCCTAGATGAAAATTAGTTTAATCGCAGATTTTGCCAAACAAAAAAACTAGAAAACGATATATATTGTAGTTTCATACTATTAATTACTATTAACTGGGGTTTGAGAAACCGAATTTGAGTGATTAAACCCTCATAAAGTTTTCATTCTACGTCCAGATTATTATTTCCCAAAAGGATGTACTTCCACAAATACTTCCTATAGAATGCTATAAAAAGACGTTCTTACTACACACATCGATGCCATCATCATCAGAGTCGGGTTGGCATGATCTTGTCCTATGGAGTGGTATAAACAGATGTCGGGTAGGCATGGAGTGGTCTTCTAGAATGATATAAACAGATGTCGGGTTGGCGTGGTATGGTCCTATAGAGTGTTATAAAAAGACGTTCTCAGTGCATACATCGATGCTGTGATAATGATAGTTGGGTTGGCATGGCATGTTTCTAGAGTGGCCTGCCAGAAGAATATAGAGAATATAAAGAATATAGTAGAACTATCGTTGCAATATTTCACAATGGAAGTTCGACGAGCTTGGATTTGGGTTATACCAAAGCCTTTATATCTTTCATGGATATACACAATTTTGTTAACTTTAAGTCCTTTTGACGTTGTTTCCGAAAAATCGTCCCTCTGTGTCAGTATTTAATCACGAATTTGAACCAAATTACACCCGCATACTAACCTTCGTTCAAATATCTCAAGAGCTGAGAGACCTACATACGGACATGGCTATATTAACTCAGCCTATCAGACCAATGTTCATGAAAAGTCCAATAATCCATCTAAATAAAATTAATTTCTAAAAATATAATTGTCTTCACCGCTTATCAGAGAAACTCTGCTATGTATATCATATACTCGTACAGTTCATGCTAAGCCACCTAAAAATGGTTACTAGGTTTTTATAAAAAGCATTGATTTTGATACTAGAGCGGCGTTCTAAAATTTTTTATGTTTGGCCATACCTGGAGCCTTGCCGTCCGAAGGTTGGTAAACAATAATATCCACTCGGCTATTGCGGCTGCCAATATACTCGTAAATACTCATTTTGTTATATGAACATATACATATATCAACTATCCGTCTTCTTCTTCATTGGCATAGGCACCGCTAACGCCATAATATCCGAGTCAACAATAGCGCGCCCTGTTTCTTTTTTCTCGTCATTTGGCGCCAGCTGAAAATATAGATCCATATTACTCCAATCCTTCCAACGGAGTGGCATGACATAGATGGCGAAGCCGCTGTCTCTTCATTCGCTGAATTTCGTCAGTATCATCGTATAACTCCTACAGCTCATCGTTCTTTCAGTTATATTCGTCGTTGCCAATGCACAAAGGACCATAACTCGTTCGCAAAACTTTTCTCTCAAAGACTTCCAGGACCGGTTTATCGTTTGTCGATATCAGCCACGCCTCTGCACCGTATAGAAGAACGAGTATGACAACTGACTTGGTGAGCTTGATTGACTCAGCTCAAAGTAGCATCTGCCGACAAGAATGGTTCTGGGCTGAACTTTCAGGCTAGCTAAGTGGTTAGCTTTGTGTACTGACACTCTGAAGGCTCGGTTTTAAATACTGGTGCGACCAGCTTCCAAAATTTATGGAAAATTCCCAAGGTAGGGAATGTCAACCCCTTCGAGAGTATTTCTGAACTGAAAAAAAAGATAAAAAGCTCCTCATAAAAAACCATCAGTCGTTCGTAGGCGGCTTAGTATAAACTGTAGGTCCCTCCACTTGTTGAGAAAACATCAAAACGCAAAACCACAAATTAGAGGAAGAGCTCAGCCGAAAAGCGTTCAGCGGTTACAAAGCGGCAATTATATTATATTGTTGTTGGTGTTAATGCAGGTTCCAAGCTAGACGAAATTATCTACGACCTGGAAGTTATTACTATCAACAATGACGTGGGAGCCAAGCCGTAAATTCGCCGGGTTTTGTTTGATGGCAGGAGACATTTCACTTTCTTCTCGTTCACCACTCGACCGGTTTGCTTCGCTTTCTTGCCAAGCCTGGAGAAAGCAGAACTAACGGCACGGTTATTAAGGCCGATGATATGTGTCTTACAGTACGTCGATAGTTGTACGCTCTTGTAAAATTAAAGAAATCACAGAATTAAGAGTCAACCTGTCTTAAACCTCGTTAGGTACCTTACGGCTCATGGAGTTGGCTACTAAGTTCTGACTGCGCGTTTCTGCAATTGTCCTGCGCCAGTTTACACAGCTGTATAAGTACTTCAGGAGGGCCAAATTCAGATATACCGACGTAGATGCACCTGCTTACTGCGCTCTCAAGGCATCTTTAATATCGATGAAACGGTGATGGGTATGGGTTCTTTTGTGTGAATATCTCATCAATGGTTGATTTACTAGATCTAAGGTCACACTCATAAGGTCGAATCAGTTTGTTGACTTTCCAGTGGTGGCAAATACTAACAACAGTCAATATTATATGGAATTGGTTGAGTGTCTGAAGATCGAAATTGGTCGAAAGTGACCGCATATGGCGAAGAAAATAATTTTGTTTCATCAAGACAAGGCATTGTGTTACTGTTAAACTTTAGTAAAATGACTTAAATTGAGTTTCAAATTTCACCCAAATCCAGCGTATTCATATGACTTGGCTTCCAGCGTCCATTAGCTAAACTAAAAAAAATGTATTCAAGAAATTTCGCTGGTAAATAGAGGTTCTCTTATATTTTAAAACAAAAAGTTATCGTTATAAATGTTGATGTTGTAAGCGACGTTGAAGTGTGCGTAGGGAAGGCTCTTGATGAAGTTAACTTCGAGAATCTAAAACAAGAAAAAACTCCATTTTTTTAGGCCAGGAAATACCCAGATCGATTTCTAAAAATCTCAGTTTAAAGTTCGGACTAAAACCCTCACCTACACGTTATTTATTTTGACTCTTTTACGGTGTTACGTATAACCGTTGGCTGCGCAAAATTAGTATACTCGTACAGTGTGTATATAATAAAGAGAGGAATAGCTAGAGTATCACTAACGGTTGTCTACAGTAAACACAAAATTGTACAACATAAACAATAACGTTATTAAAGGATCTAATATTTCAAAATAAATAAGTTGTCAAGGGTCACTTTATAAACACGAAGCCTCCACGACGAACGCCATGCAGAGGAAATGGGAAAATTGAGTACGCTTGTGATGTGACATTCCTTGCAGCTGCCTTCGTTAGTTATCTATTCATATTGTTTATTGTACACTTCTGTGAATAACTCTTGTTTCCATTATTTCACCATCAGGTTTTAGGCATCGCCTATATATATATATGTATATAATATAAACAAACACACACCATTATCCTATCAAAAGGAATATTTATGTGTCTGAACTCAAACTAAAAGCGGAGACCTAAGCATAGCCAAAGCGGCAGATAGCATAAAATACAAAAGTAAAATGATGAGATCATAAAAAAATAAAAAATAAAACAACAAAAATTAGGTACGGACTCGTGTGTGGGCTGCTTAACGCCAGTTACCGACTTATTGACCAGTCGGTCAGTCATTCACTCGTTTGGTTGGCGGGTCAGACGAAAGGCAGTAATATCACTTAATATTTATTCACAGTAGATGTTTAGACAATTGCTTATTTTACACTTAATTCACTTTGTGTCCTCCCAGCGCAGCCTTGCATACATACATACATACATACACATATATGAAAAAAGAAACAAGAAACTTATGTATTGATTGTGCAGCATCTTTCCCTAATCCCAAACTGTGCATACATACATACATATAAATATGTACATATGTATATCTCGCTTTTCTCATTTGTATGCGTAATGTTTATATTTATGTATGTACTTTTTTGTCATTTGCAGGGCGACAAAGGTGACCGCGGCGATCGTGGTCTCACCACGACAATTAAAGGTGACGAGTTTCCCACCGGCATCATTGAGGGGCCCCCAGGTCCACCAGGACCACCTGGTAAGTATTTGACAAACTATTTGTAGCCTAATCAATTGTCTATATAAAGTACACACACATACGTGTATTTGAGAGTATACATACACGTACTTATATGTCTATTAACTAAGTGATGCCACACTCTCGTGAAAAAATAAATAAATAAATAAAGCAAGAAAAAAACAGATTTTACTGTTGTTGTTGTTGTTTGCAGCTGCCTACATACATGTGTTTAAACATACATAGCCATCCTGTTCATATTCATTCTCTCCACTTCCCTTTCATTGCTTTCCTTTTCGTTTCATTTGATGGAACTCAATTCACGTGCCGTTTGTTTGTTTTTAAAGGTGTTTGTTGTTGGCATTTCATATGCCACACGCTGTTAGTGATTATACACATTCACTAAATACATAAATATATACAATATATTGTATTAAAGCGCAGGCATGTCCGTTTAAATACGTTTGTTGTTCGTTGTTTGTTGTTTGTGTTTGTGCACATCTTTAGCTGCTATGCCAACAGCATCAAAGTGAATGTCTATCTACAATACATATGTACATCTGTACATACTACTAGCATCATAGGTGCGTTTGTATGTTTATATGTACGTGGGTACATATTTACCTTTTTGTAAACATTATTAAAAGGCAGGAAAAGTGCAATAACAAAGTCATATATTCACACACACCTACGTACATATGTATATTGTCTTCTTTAATGTTGTTGTAATAGAGGGAAAATGTGTTGGCTGCTTTAATTTATGGCCTGCTTGCAAGTCGTCGGAAGACACGCAGCACAAAAAGGTGCTAAAGTTTAAGGTACAGTGGGGCGAAAGTGTGAAAATGTGTCAATTTGATGAAAATCGTTTTGATTGAAATTTCACTTTTAAAATATATATTTGTTTATTTACGATTTATTTATTACGTAGACAAATAAATTTAGCTGCATAGACGCCAAAAAAAATAAACTTAAATCTTAATAGAAAAAATTATTTATAGTTCGCTTTTAAAGACTTTGGTGACATTACATTTTAATACAGTAGTTTGAAGTTCAGATTTTTTGTAGAGCATAATTCCCAAGGTCAGATCTTCAGAAAATTGATTTTTAATACAAATATTTTTTTTATTTGCTCGAAAATTGTATTCATTCGAATTATCCAGCTACTAGACAAGGAATTTAGTACACATAGTAGGAAGAGATTTCTTCTTCTTCTCTATTGGTGTAGGCATCGCATCGCTTGGTGGCAACACCAAGTAAAACCTGGGCAAGCGTCTTCCACTCCACTTGCACTTCCTCTGCACTGAATACTTTCAAGGATGGAGTGTTTTTTCTATTGGGACTACTTGGGCTAGGCAGCATAGCCGCTGTCTTTTCATTCGCCTAACTATGAACAATGTCATCGTATAACTCGTTAGCGATATTCGGCGTCGCTCGTAAGCGTAGGACCATAAATCGTTGACAAAATATTTTTCTCGTAGGTTGCCAGGGTTGACTCATCACATGTCGACATCGTCCACTCTTCTGCGCCATATAGTAGGACGGAAATGATGAGAGAATCGTAGAGCTTAACACTGGTTCGTCGAGAGAGGATCTTGCTCTTCAATTTCCTGCTCAGTCCAAAGTAGCAGCTGTCGACAAGAGTAATTCTGGCTAGCATTGTTGTTGGTCTCAAAGCGGTTTTCCAAATTCAGCTCCGCAGCTCATATTTTTTTCTCCAGCATCAGTATAAAGAAATCACACGGCAAAGAGTCACCCTGTCTGAAACCTCATTTGGTGTCAAACGGCTCGGATGGTCCTATCCGATCCTGATAAAGCTTTTAGTGTTGCTTAACGTCAGTATGCACAGCCGTAAACGATTTGCGGGGTTACCGAATTCAGTTATTGGCGACCTGTTTTAAAATCGACAATTAGATGTTGTGTGTCGATATTCCTTTGACAGGTCTTTTACAAGACTGGTGAATTGCGCATGGTGAATATCTAATCATTGATTGATTTGTCAGGTCTAAAGCCACCATGACAAGGTCCAATCAATTTGTTGCCGGTAGAACCTTCAACGCGATTTTAAGGAGGCTTATCCCTGTGGGATCACTCTTTTTATGGATTTCATAGAGCACACTTAGGTTCCAATCGTTTATTCGACCATATTTAACTTAAATTTATACTAGGCAAATAATACAAATAAGCGAAAGCATGCCCACTGGATTCAAATGGGATGACTAGAGCACTAACTCTGCCTGTATTTAGAACATGAAGTAACAACTCCTCATAAAAACCCATAGGTCATTCAGCGGCGGCTCGAGCGGTTATAAAGCTACAGTTGTACATATAATCAACTCATATATGTATATATACACATATGTATACCACATCTTCAATCAAAGATTTCTACTCCACTCATCCACTGTACACAGATTTCCTTCCCAGTCGAATGCAGTGAAGCATTTATTTGTTTTCGTGCTGTTGCTTAGCGTTACTTTCAACACACCGTAAGAGTATTCACAACAAAACAAATATCTTAACATCCCACAAACATGTGCACAGTACACACGTGTACATACATACATATGTATATGCATATATATGCATATATAATATTAGCTTAGGTGTATCGAGTGGCAAAGAACAAATGCACCGGATCTCCACGAAATTTGTTATCGGCTGGATTGTGTTGCTCTGGCACTTAATTGAGTCACTTGAGCGCCGCCCAAAACAAATTAACTTAAAGTGAATCGTACATGCAAATGCCCATACATACATACACACATACTAGCATACAATGCAATGGTGCATTTCACACAAACATCAATTAATTGGGGAATTTGTGTTCATACACTAGCTCTATCTATTTTAGTTCGACAACTAACTAGACTATACACCGTGGAAAAAAATTCAATTCTTTTGTGCATACACATACATACATACATACATTTATTTATTTTTATAGTGCTTTTTAGTTTATTTTTTTTTTTTTTTTTTTGTAAAAATCTACCTATGGTATTTTATGTTTTGATTAAATTCTTTTACTTATTTTTCTAGTTTTTATTGAAAAGTGAATTTTTCACATTCACAAGGCTGTGTGGCTGGCATGCTGTGTACTCACAAAAAAAAAAAATAATAAATAAGAGAATAAATTTTTTTTTTCTTTTCATTTCCTTGAATTGCCTGGCGTTGTTGACATTCGCTGCTGATTTATATATGAATTTCTTATTGTGTAAGATTGTGCGTTTTTGTAACGCTGTACATATATTTTTTTGGGGCTCACCTTCATCATTTGAATTACTGAAAGCGATGTTTTCGTTGGCGTTGAAACGCTCTAAAATTGCCTCTAAATTCTATGGAATTTATTAGTATAAAAGAATAAATGATAATCATAAATAGAATGGAAAATTAGCCCACACCAACAACACTACCACCACCACCAAGACTACCACCGACTACACTTGTTCCACTTCTCCACCGAGTCGAGTCGACGATAAATGCTGTGTGTGCTAAAGATGAATAAGTTCATAATCACACACAGACAAGAAATGGGGGGAAATAAAAATAGAAAGGCACACGCAATATGCTTAGCGTGGAAAACAATGAAATGCTAAATATTCAAGCAGCTTAAAAATGTATATGAAATTGAATAAATTTGAGAACGCTTTTCAACACATTAATCATTTTCGAAGACTAGCGGGATTAACGCGTGGCGCGTCACATTATTCGCCAAGTAAATAGAGGCGACATGAATGCTTGAAATCAAGGCACAAAAGCTACAAAAAAAAAAAAAACAACAACGGCATATCCCTCCTGCAGTGCCGCCATATATATACTATGTATATTTGATGACGCCTCCATTGACCCCCTACGCACCCTCACCCCACTCTTTATGGCTGCTGCGATCGATCTAACGAACTGGTACTTTTTTTGTTGGGTTGAGTAATGAAATATAAGAAAATATTTTTACTACGGCAAGCGGAAGTGTGGGCATTGTAGCGTATATATATATATCGTTAATTTACTGTTACTTGCCGGTTCATGTGCGTTTCTATTAGCCTTCAACATCAGCTAAATATCAGCCTGTTTGTCGTCGCATTTCGGGCATTGTTTATTTTATTATCTGGACCCCCTTTGGGCTCGTGCACTCCACGCTGCAAATCCATATGTGCCTTAACACACTTGTTTATTGGTTTCAAGTTTTTTATACACGCCACAGTACATTTCACACATTTACGACTTGCCACTTGCCACTTGCCACTTTCCACTGGCACTGCACAAATAATTTATAAAAAAAAAACAGAAATTTACATCAAAAATTAGTTTTTTAATTTTTTTTCGCTCGCGTTCCCTTCCTCTCTTTCAAATCTGTATGCCAATATTTTTTTAAAAATATTCGGCATTTTTTCATGTTTATTTTTTCAAATTAAGTTATTTCCATCGCAGAACTTTTGCCTTCGGAAGAACAAAGGCGATAAATATTTTCTTAATTCTTTGCTCGTTACGGATTTCACACTTAATTGAAAACGAAAATATTATGTGTTTCAAAATTTATTTTCTTTTTCATTAATTAATATCTAGCTAAGATTGCACTAATTGTTTTGTTATGTTCTTCGCTTTGAATTATGCCATCATCGTTCGTCGCCTGCTGCCGCCAGCTCTCCCATGGCCTGCCGCCCATTTTTGCTGACATCAATTTCCTTTGCTAGCCACTATTTCAGGCAATTAATGACACAGTAGTAAAGCATTTAAGTTTTAAAATAATTTAGTTAGGGCGTTGAATTGGCTAGCGCTCAAGGGTCGGGCTGGAATTGGTCATAAATCTCGATCTCGAATCTGTTTTCCTTTTTTTGGAAACTTTATATTGCTGGGGCGTATTAAATTGTAATTTATTTACATATTTAAGTATTGATAATGTAGAAGTTGTTGGCTTAGTGTAGCAGACCCAAAATGCACTACCCTTTATAAATGCATACAACGCGACTGCTTCATGCAGTCGTGAAATATAAACTCCACGCGGACAATGAAGTAATCAAGAACTA